AACTCTCTTCGTGCTGCCAGTCCTACTGTCACGCGTCTCCTTGCTACTGTTGTCACTGACCCTTCTTTCGAGTCTACTGCTGCGTCTGCTCTCGTTACTGAGCTCGTCGACTTTGCTGCTCGCTGTCGCCTAGACTACGCTGCTAGTCTTGTCCCCGAGTCTGAGTCTGTCTGTCCTCCGTCCGTCGGGGGTGAGTGTGCCCTTGGCACGGACGTCCTTGAGGACAGGCAGGAGGAGTTCCAACGTCTGGCAGCTGCTTCACCTCATCTCGTGTCCGTACTGCTTACCCCTGAGGGAGAACCGGATGCACTTGACATCCCGACTCCGCGCTCTTACGCGGAGGCGATAGAGGGTCCCTACTCCTCTCAGTGGCAGGCAGCTATGGATGCAGAGATGGCTTCCTGGAAGTCCACAGGCACCTACGTTGACGCTGTCCCTCCTCCTGGGGCGAACATCGTCAGTGGCATGTGGATCTTCAGGGTGAAGCGGCCGCCGGGTTCTCCACCTGTCTTCAAGGCGCGTTACGTGGCTCGTGGCTTCAGTCAGCGACAGGGAGTTGACTACTTTCAGACCTTCTCCCCCACCCCAAAGATGACCACTCTTCGGGTACTGCTGCACGTTGCTGCTCACCGGGACTACGAGCTGCACTCTCTCGACTTCAGCACAGCTTTCCTGCAGGGCAGCCTACACGAGGAGATCTGGCTGCGCCGCCCACCTGGCTTCACTGGGTCTTTCCCTCGTGGTACCCAGTGGAGTCTCCGGCGTCCAGTCTACGGTCTCCGCCAGGCGCCACGTGAGTGGCACGACACACTGAGGACTACGCTTGCGGCTCTTGGGTTCGCTCCGTCTACTGCCGACCCGTCGCTGTTTCTGCGCACCGACACTTCTCTGCCGCCGTTCTACATCCTCGTGTACGTCGACGACTTGGTCTTTGCCACAGCTGACACCACTGGACTCGCCTACGTGAAGTCCGAGCTGCAGAAGAGACACACGTGCACTGACCTGGGTGAACTGCGCAGCTACCTTGGCTTGCAGATCACCCGGGACAGAGCACGCCGCACCATTACCCTGACTCAGTCACACATGGTGCAGCAGGTCCTTCAGCGCTTCGGCTTCACGTACTCCTCGCCTCAGGCCACTCCTCTGTCTACTCGCCACTCGCTCTCAGCTCAGCCTTCGGATGAGTCCGTAGAGTCGAGTGGCCCGTACCCAGAGCTTGTTGGCTGTCTCATGTACCTGATGACCTGCACACGACCTGACCTTGCATACCCTCTTAGCATTCTTGCACGCTATGTTGATCCTGGGAGACACCGACCAGAGCACATGGCTGCAGCGAAGAGGGTGTTGCGCTACTTGTGCAGTACGTCGGGCATGGGGCTAGTGCTTGGAGGGCGGAGCCCAGTGGTCCTCACTGGACACGCAGACGCTTCTTGGGCTGACGACCAGGCTACGCAGCGGTCGTCACAGGGTTACACCTTCAGCCTTGTTTCCGGCTCTGTTTCGTGGCGGGCTACTCGCTCGTCTTCTGTTCTTCGCTCCAGTTGTGAGGATGAGATCTACGCAGGGGCCATGGCTGCTCAGGAGCTTCGCTGGCTCACCTACCTACTGACCGACCTTGGAGAGCCGCCTCGTTCTCCTCCAGTCGTGTACGTAGACAACAAGGCCATGCTGGCCTTGTGTCGGGAGCAGAGACTGGAGCACAGAACAAAGCACATTGCTCTCCGCTACTTCCTTGCTCGTGAGCTACAGCAGCGTGGTCAGTTGCGACTTGCGTACGTGGCCTCTGAGGCCAACACTGCTGATGTCTTCACCAAGGCCCTTCCGCCTTGTGATCATCAGCGCTGCTGTACCCAGCTGGGTCTTGTGTCTGTCTTGCCTCACTTGCTCTCCTCTTGACCCTCTTTGTACTGTTACATATATATATATCACTGCTCTTGCTTGTTTAGTCTTATATATATACTTGTACTCCTGCATGTGAACTGGCCTTGTGGCCTTGCACTTGTGCTTGGATTGTGTGGTGACGTTGTGATCCACCCTGAGCTTGCTTTGTTTTGCTTTACTTGACTGGTCTTGTGACCCCTAGTTCTCCCCCACTTCGCCTATGGGGGTGTGTCAAACATTATATATGTTGTTGTAGTTGTTTAGGCTACAGTGGGTTAGCTTATAGGGGGTACACATTCCTAGGTCTTCATACTTGTACTCATTTCACTCTTAGTTCATTCATTCTTGTTCAACAGCTTCGTTGTGCTTCGCCTCGTTTGGGACTCAGTGTTTCGACACACAACAGAAGCGCTTAAATTACTTGTTTCCAACAGAGACAACCATGACTATTCGCAATGGTAGAGGCGCCCTGCGCCCGTCCCTCCAACACACCCAGTCGTGCCTCCCGTTCCTTTCACTCTTCCAACACCTCCTAACTCTCCCACTCCCCCGGCGCCTCCCGTTCCTCCCGCTCTTTGGTCCCCTCCTGATCCGTCTGTCATCGGTGTTCCACATCAGGGGGTTCTGCAGCTTCTCCTCCCTCCTGGCTGCTCAGCGTTCGACGCTTACCTGCCCGAGCCCGACCGCATCGGTGCCGTAGCATCTTTCTCTACACCGTCGCCAGGTTGGGGAACTTTGGCTGATTGCCCGTTGGACGAATCCGTGACTGGTGCCGAAGACAATGTGGAGTTTTGGATTGCCGACGGTCTTCCCGAGCACCTGCCTATTTCCACCCCTCCTAATAAAAAACGGCTCCACCCTTCCCGAGAGAATCGCGATGCCCGTCCTCCCTCCCCCAGGCACAAGCCAACAACTCACAAGCGCCATTTGTATACCTCCCAGGAGAAGATGCAGTGGATCCTGAAGCTTAAATCCGGGGAGATGAGTGTGCCGAGGATGTCCCGCGAATCCGGCATCTCCTGAAGGTCACTCGCAGAGTGGAAGACCCGGAAAACTGAGCTGGAGAGCGCGCATGCGGTGTATGTTCGGTGCCCGCCCCCGCAAAGCTCTGCTCGTCCTGGACTCGTACCGCGGGCACCTGAGTACGGAGGTGAAGCAGAAGTTCGACGAGCTTAATATTGTCACTGTTGTAATCCCAGCTGGCTGCACCTTGGAGATTTTAGCCCTCAATGTCGCAGTGAATCAATCCTTCAAGGGTGCAATTCGAGAGCTCTACCAGGACTGGTTCGAGAGCGAGGGGGTCGACACTTTGACGGTGAAAGGTGAGACATGCCGCCCATATATTTGTTTGTTTACCGGTTTTATTAACCCTTGTGACTCTTGTTGTCTGGTAATTCATGGCAGGCAATATAAAGAAGCCACCACCCGAGCCGACGCTCAAGTGGAAGTCCGTGCCCAAGGAACGCTACAATAGCCGTATCACATTTTTTGCCACTTTTTTCTGCAAAGCAGACGAAATTACTTCTTCAACGGTAAGTACATAATGGAAGGTGATTCCAGTTAGATAGCTTAATTTAATCTCCTGGACATCATTTTTATTCCCAACATTTAGGATGATTTCCTTAATGCCTGCCCATTTAGCTGCTATAGTTTTTTCTTTTATGCCACCAACACAAGTGTTGTTGAAACTTGCTGCAATTTCCAACGGGCATTTCTCACGTGCAGCATCAGCAACGCCCTGGATGGGTCTCAGGACAAGCTCTGCCTGCAACACAGGCGGGACGAGCTCGAGGGCGAAGTCGAGATGGATGATGAGATTGCAGCAGATGGGTTCTGCTGCAACAATGTTGAGGAGCCTGAGTCGGACTCCGGGACCCAGATGACCCCACCACAGCTGATAACTAGAGTAGATGTAGGACATCTTCTGTAGCCTGTGTTTGGCCCTCGTAGGTAGATGTCTTGTATGTTTTAGAAAGTAGCCGTAGATATGAAATTGTTTTAGTGAACTACTGTGATGTAAAGTATATTGAAAACATGCTAATTAGTAAAATCATTAAAAACAGGTGGCACTGACAATCTGTAAGCCAGAAGTATGCGCTTATAATCCGTAAGCCCAAAAGTATGCGCTTATAATCGAGGACCGGATATAAGCGCCATATGCTCATTATAAGCACTGGGCGCTTATCCGAGGCCTGCGCTTATATCCGGGGGGTGACGATAAACCATTTGTGGCCGACGGATGCAAATCATGCAAGGAATGCAATGTTTCCAAATGTCAGTACGTCATGATTGCCAGAAGCCAAATGAAATATTATTTTCAAAAATTCCCTTCCTCTGCTCTATCGATGCAAAACAGTATACATACTTGCATCCGACCTTGCGGTCGTATGTAGCCCACCACCACCATGTGTTCTCAGTGTGCAATCGGGACCTATTCCGATAGAGGCATGTCGGGACCAATACAGGCATGTCAGGACCAATAGAGGCATGTTGGGACCAATTGGGACAATAGCTACAGTGGAGATCTCGCCAACCTGCTCTGAATCCAACTCCATGATCATTCCGCTCCACCATCACACCACCTCCCTTCGCCTCTGCTCCCCTTGGCCTCCCTCAAACCCCCACCCACACTACATAGCATCCCTTCATCTCCTCTGTCAGAATCCCAACCACTAGACCATTGGGATAAAAGGGCTTGTTTAAGTAGCGGGTGAGTGCGCCCATAACCCCCCAGGCGAACGCGCCTGTAACCCTCTCCAGGATCAATCGGGCATCCACAGTGCAGATCTACGGACACCCCCCCACACTGGGAGGCCCAGGACTAAGCACAGCGGCAACGGCCTACATGTGCATACACCGGGAATCGAACCCGAGACCGCTCTGATACCATGTCAGAATCCCAACCACTAGACCATTGGGATAAAAGGGCTTGTTTCAGTAGCGGGTGAGTGCGCCCATAACCCCCCAGGCGAACGCGCCTGTAACCCTCTCCAGGATCAATCGGGCATCCACAGTGCAGATCTACTGACATCCTCATCCCCTCATCGTTGCCCACCTTGCCCGCCACCATGGCCCCGCCCCTTCGTCTTGCCGCCCGCCCTCCGCGCCCCCACACCCCCCTACGTGCCAGCACCTTCGGCCACGAGGTGCTTGTGGGCGCACCACTGCCCTGCCACCTTGAGCGCCTTGGGGTCCACAAACCCCAGAGCCGCCACCGACCGCTGCCGCCGCCTAAACATCACCCTGAGCCGAAAGCTCAGCGTGGCGCGCATGATGGCCCGCGCTTCCTCCTCGCCCTCTGGGGCCGGCGCTCCCGCCTGGATCACTATGGCCCCGTCGGACCTGCTCGACAACCAGGGGGAGAAGAGGGGGATGAGCGGGAGGGGGGGATGGGAAGTGCAATGAGAGGGTTGTGCAGAGGAGAAAGGGGTTGGGGCAATGCAGCAGGTGGCTTTGGTTGGACCACTACAATGCTGTCATAGTGCAGTATGGGGGATGGAGAGGGCGCAGGTGGGGGCAATGGGTTGACTGAGGCTATGGTTGGAGGAGAGGCAGAGAATGGCGTATGGAGGTTTGGGGGGGGTAACGTTAGAGTGAAGGAAAGAAGGTGAGGAAAGGCAGCATGGAGTGTGGGTTAAGACGATATCATAGTGATTTTCACCACCATCACCGATCCAAGGGATATAGATTCCCCTATCCCTTGCGGACCCCCTACTCCCCCGTCCCATTCCCTATCTTCCAAAGCATCCCCATACTGTGAGCTCACCTGGGGTGCTGGCGCAGTGTGACGGCAGCAATCACGTCAGCGAGAAGAAAGTCACCCCCCTCCACCGCGCCCTTCCCCAGCGCCCCTCCCTCCCCCTCGCCATCGCCGGCCCTCGCCTCCTCCCCATCCGACCCCTCTCGAGCACCGTCCCTTGCTTCTGCAGTTACCAAAGAGCCCGCCGCCTCGTCTGCCCCTTCCGCCGCCCCCTTCTGCCGCGTGCGCCTCTCCGCGCGCCCCTCTAGCTCGCGCCTGCGCTTCGCCTCCCCCCCCACCTCCTTGTTCCGCCGCTCCTCACTGTCTCCCTCTTCCCCTCCCTCCCCCTCCTCTCCCTTCGCTGCCAAGCCTGCTCTCTTTTGCCGGACCTTTCAATCAGCCTTGGCAACCCTGCAGGGTGGGGCGGCGGGTAGAGGACCTGGACGAGCGATGCAACGGCAGGGGACACATCGGCGGAGGAAAAAGCTCAAATGAAAGACGCGGCTTATTGCAACCAACGTAGTGTGTACTCATATGCGGCGGGCTTCCGCCTTCTGTTGGCGCTGCTGCGAAACCCGTTTGCGTCCATGGTAGGGCGGGGAGAGGAGAGGTACAGCGAGGGGTTATGGTTTGAGGATTCTATTCAAAGATGCGCCAATAGGTTCAGACGCAGTAGAGTGACAAGAGGATAAGGCGGAACACAGCGACGGGCAGGGGGGAGACTGTGACGGTGGGCGCGCACTTGTGACAGAGTGAACTCCTTGGGCGCATCGTCCGAATCGCTATCGTCATCATCGTGATTGTCTTGTCCCGCCATTTCTCCCTTTACAACCTTGACTTCAATCGCAGCCGTCCGTTCATGCCCCAACTCGTCATTACTCTCCTCGTCCCCTGAACCCCCTTCCTGTACTGTCCCTCCCCCCTCCGCCCCTTCCTCCTCCGCCCCTTCCTCCTCCGCTGTCCCTCCCCCCTCCGCCCCTTCCTCCTGGGGTCTTCTCTCCTCGTCCTCCTCACGGCTCTCTCCGCGCGCCGTTACTGCATCGCCATCTCGCTCCTTCTCGCCGGATACATACTCAGGTCGGCCCATTAACACCCCACACGATTTTGCTCAGCGTCCGTCAGGGCAGGACGAGCGCACACCGCGGCCGCTGCACACTACCGATAAGAGAAAGCGAAGGTTGAGATGCTACTGGAAGCGGCAGTCCGCGCCTGCGCGAGTGTGTGAGCTCTTGATAGCAGCGCCTAGAGGGAAGTCCGTACATGCTCCTCGTATCTGGCATGCCGTCGTCTGTGCGCCACATGTACTCGTGGAATAGAATAAGTGCATCTGTCACACAGCTAGGGTCAAACCTTCGTAGTTAGGGAAGTCCACTTCACTCCTCTGCACCCGTCTCAAGGTAAGGCGAGCGATGGTATCATACACGATATACATATAAACGGGCACATTACCTACCGTAAGAGTATGAAGACATTTTTACTTCTTATTTCGTGTAGATTGATGTTCCATGCACTTTAAACAACACCATCACTTTACACATCTAAATTTTATAAGATTGAAATGTTTGGTCTTGAAGCGTTTAAAGAAGCCTAGAAAACAGTCTGTGCATTACGAGCATGATGAAGAACACGTTACACAATGCAGTAATGTTATGAGCATGACTAGGAACATGTTACACACTGCAGTAGCGTACGAGCATGACGGAGAACACGTTACACAATGCAGTAATGTTACGAGCATACCTGGGAACACGTTACACAATGCAGTAGCGTTATGAGCACGATGGAGAACACGTAACACAATGCAGTAACGTTACGAGCATGACTATGAACACGTTACACAATGCAGTAGCGTTACGAGCATGATGGAGAACACGTAACACAATGCAGTAATGTTACAAGCATGACTAGGAACACGTTAAACAATGCAGTAGCGTTACGAGCATGACGAAGTACACGTTAGACAATGCAGAAACGTTACGAGCATGACTAGGAACAAGTTACACAATATAGTAACGTTACCAGCATGGCTAGGAACACGTTACACAATGCAGTAACGTTACGAGCATGACTAGGAACACGCTACACAATGCAGTAACGTTACGAGCATGACTAGGAACACGTTACACAATGTAGTAGCGTTACGAGTGTCAACGGGAGTTGTGTGTTGGCCCCGTCCGCGCTTGGGCGGAGCCGACTTCGTGGTCGGGTGTGAGGGGAGCAGCCGACCTGCAGCAGTGGGCGAGCTGGTTGATGAGGAGGTCGACCTGCACGGGAGCCACTACATGGGCGCCGACTTCAAGATGGCGCCGACTTCCGGGAGGTCGACCTGGGAAGTCGACCTGCGGAGGACGTCAACATGGTGACGTCAACTTGGGGGCAGCCGACTTGGGTGGTCGGCTGACAGGACTGCTGGTCGACCTGGTGGCTGGTCGACATGGCTTGCTTGTCAACCTGCTGGTGGTCGACCTGACCTGGTGGTCGATGGAGGAGGGGCCGATGTCGACCTCAACTCTAGACGCCGAGCAGTTGGGCGTTTGACGCCCACTTCGGGTAGCCGACTTGGGCGGTCGGCTGACAACTGCGCTCGTCGACGTGGAGCTGGTCGACCAGGGGAGTGGTCGACCTGGTGAGGTCGACTTGGAGGTGGCCGTCAACTTGGGAGGTCGACGGGCACGTACGGGAGCAGCTGGTCGACGTGGTTGCCCAGTCGACCAGGTTATCTGGGTGACGAGGTTTTGCGGAGGAGTGCGACGGTCACCCAGGCGAAGTTGGCGAGTCCGACCTCGGTGGTGGTATCCCGAGGTCGACGTGGCTGATCAGATGCAATCGTCAGCGTCGGGCTGACTTGGTGTGTGTGTTGTGCAGATGACCAGGCTTAGCACGCCAATCATCTGCGAGCACCTGCGAAGCTGGTGCGATGCTGTTCTGTGGGAGCAACGCTGGCACGCCGTCAACCTGCAACGTTGGCATGCCTTCGACTTTGCACTGCTGGAGCGCGGTCCACCAAGTCGTGCTGGAACGCGGTCGACCATGCTGTGCTGGCAGTCGACCGACCTGAATGCTAGCTCTGATGTAGTCTTGCCATGCCAACTTCATTGTACCATTGTTGTCAACTTTCTCTAGTGAAACTCTTGCCAATTCTCCCTGTGAACTAGCAAGCTGTGTGTGCACTAGGAAACCGACTAAGGACCAACGAACGCAGAGATCACACGAGCACTTGTGCTTAGCCCGTAGTCTAGCTCCCGCTGTAGTAGTTATCTCCACAACGAGCATGACAAAGAACATGCTATACAATACAGTAACGTTACGAGCATGACCAGGAACACGTTACACAATGCAGTAGCGTTACGAGCGTGATGAAGAACACGTTACACAATGCAGTAACATTACGAGCATGACGGAGAACACGGTACACAATGCAGTTACGTTACAATCATGAGGAAGAACACACTACACAATGCAGTAACGTTACGAGAATGACTAGGAAGACGCTACACAATGCAGTAGCGTTACGAGCATGACGAAGAACACGTTACACAATGCAGTATCGTTACGAGCATGACGAAGAACACGTTGCACAATGCCATAACGTTACGAGCATGACGAAGAACACGTTACACAATGCAGTAATGTTACGAGCATGACTAGGAACGTGTTACACAATGCAGTAGCGTTACAAGCATGACGAAGAACACATTACACAATGCAGTAATGTTACATGCCAAGCTGCGCTCGCAGACCATGCAATCCGACACGAGCCCCGTTGTTCCAAGCTGCGGGGTATTACCTGCAGGGCCTGAGTCTCGAGCACTGGATTGGCTCGGCGTGTGGGAAAGTGAAGAAGGGGAGTTAATGGGAACACAGATGGATGAGAAGTGGGGCAAAGGTATGTACAGGGAAGGAATGACAGGGTCATGGAGGGTGAAGAGGTGTGGGGAGGAGAGGGGGATGGAGGGAATGTAGTAGGCAAAACAAGGCAGCAGAGAGTAAGAGATGAGGGATGGGGTAAGGGAAGGACTTGCACAAATGAAATCATGGGAGGCAATCTGAATGCCTGCTCAAGATAGCATACTACACAGTGGAGAATCTACTAGTTGGGAGTTTGATGATAAAAGCAGTGTAGACACTGCACTCTACTCCGTATAGGTGCTGCCACCACTGATGCTGCGGCTACTCCAGATGTTGCCAACCAAGATACACCGCTAATGGTCTCTTCTAGTTTACTGCACCTATCCACCACTACTTCCTGCAGCCGAAGCAGCTCAAGCAGCAATCGCGGGAGCTATTTCAGGTTATCCAGACGCGTGAGGGTGAGCGTGTGAAGCATGGTTAGCTGGCTCAGCTCCTCTGCCACGACCTCTAACTCGCAGCAGCACGCCCCATGGAGGCTGGTGAGCGTGGGGGCGAGGGCAGCCAGTGACGCCAGGAGGGCTGTGAGGTGCGGCATGGCAAGGAGAGAGAGCTCCCTTAGGCGTGTGAAGCAGCTGAAGCCGCCTGGCAGGGGCCCTTTCACGCGCGCCAGGTGAACGATGCTTAGCTGTTCAAGCGCGGTCAGCCGGAAGAAGGACGGAGGCAGGTGGGTGAGTTTCTTGCACTTGAGAGTCAGCTCTTGCACGCAATGCAGGCCAAGGCCCATGGCATGTGGCAGCGTTGCCAGTGCGGGGCATTCACTCATTATCATATGTGTGAGGGACGACAGCAGGCACAGCGAGGTGGGCAGCCCCACCAGCTCACTGCACTCCACAATCTCGAGTGCCCACAGGCTGCTGAGGTTTCCCAAGGCACGAGGAAGAGGCGTGAGCAAGTGCAGACTGTGAAGCACAAGCTGTTGGAGGGCCGTGGCGAGGGTTAACGAGTCTGGCAGGTGTGTGAAGCGGCTGGTGTACCACCCAAGGCTATTGTAATGGAGTTACAATGCTTTTATAATAAATCTCAATACAAGTTGAAGCTCTAACTAGCTCCCAATAGCCTTGGAGGTGTCAATCTTCTTGAAGGAGTTGTTGAAAAGGCTTGAGAGAATTGTGTAGGAAGGCTTGTGAGAGAGCTCTCAAGGACTTAGGCAAAACAATCCCATTTCCAATTGTTTAGTTGGAGTGGGAGGTTGAGAAATTAGCTTTCTTAGCTCAGACCCCCTCAATACACCCCTTGGGGAACTATCCCAACCATGGTTTCCATGGTGGGATGGTTCCTAGGCTTCGAGCCTATGTGGCAATTGTGTTGGGTTGGAAAATCCAACTAAGAACCATTCAATGGTTGTGTTTAGGATAGAGTAGATTGTAACACTTTTTTGGCAATTTCTGATTGGTTGGGATTCCAACCTTCAACATTCTCTTGCTTGAGTTGGAAATGTTCCAAACCTCCAAAGTCGAGGCTTGGCAAACCCAAACCAAGTTTCAACCCAACCAACTCAACCATCTTCTCCAAATCTTCCTTTGTCGAGAGAAGTTCTCAACAATAGACTTAGAGAGAGATCGATGGTTGTTAGCTCGGTAGTTAGGGTAATACGTTACACTCCTCCCCCCCTAGGTGGCAACGTCCCTGTTGCCCTAGGGTGCTTCTGAGAACGAGTGCTTCGAGCACGGCGCACCACATTACGACCAGTGTCAACCCCGTCCACTGGTTGTGGGCCTGCTCGTAGAGCCAGGTCTTCCATATACGCTTGAACCGCTGCTTCGATCAAGTGTTCCTCAGGCTCCCAAGAGTTGTGTTCCGGCCCATAGCCTTTCCACTGAATTAGGAACTCACGAACAGTTTTGCGGCCGCGTTGTCGATCACGGTGCGTTAGCACACGCTCGACTTCGTAAAAGAGTTCCTCCTCGAGAGCGATGGTTGGTGGCGGTAATTACTTGCCTTCTGCAACGTACTTATTCAACAGAGACACGTGGAAGACGTTGTGAATCTGCAATGTCGCACGCAATTTGAGCCTATATGCGACCTCACCAACACGCGCGATCACCTTGAAGGACCCAATCCAACAAGGGAAAAGCTTTCGTGCTCCCGGGATCTTGAGACGAATGTTCTTCGTACTCAGTAATACTTTGTCGCCAACTGCAAAAACGACTTCCCGGCGTTTCATGTCGGCATAGGACTTTTGCCTCTGTTGGGCAAGCTGCAGCCAATGGCGAGCGGACTTCAATGCCGCTTGCTGATTTCCAATAAAGTCCTTTGCGGCAGGAATTTTGAGGTTCTTAATCCCATGCGTCGCGGGGGTTGTGGGGTGCCGACCACAGTTCAAGACAAAGGGTTTCTCATGGGTGCTTTCATGCACAGAATTGTTTACAGCGAATTCCACGACTGGCAACAATTCATCCCAATCGTCCTGAGTTGGGCTTATGAAAGAACGAAGCATTTGCTCAAGAGTGCGGTTGGTCCGCTCTGTCTGTCCATCCGTTTGCGGGTGGAACGCAGACGACATCTTGAGTTTCGTTCCGAGTGTCTTAATGACCTCTTGCCAGAACCGGCTTGTGAAGCGCGGGTCTCGGTCAGACACCATCACACGAGGCAAACCGTGTAAGCGGAAAACGTGCGTCACGAACAACTTTGCAGTGTCCTCTGCGGACACGTCAGTCGTCGTGGGCACGAAGTGCACCATTTTGGTGAAGCGATCTACAAACACTAGTATCGCTGTATGACCATCTCGCGTCTTGGGGAGATCGGTGATAAAATCCATCGATACACTCTCCCAAGGTTCATCGGGAATCTCGAGTGGTTGAAGCAAACCACCAGGCTTTTGTGTGCTTGGCTTGTGCCGCGCACACGTGTCACAGCGAGTTACAAAATGCTGGACCTCAATGCCCAATCCCGGCCACCAGTATACATCACTTGACACCCAAGTGTCCTCCATACTTAGTGGCGTGCACCTTTGCTAGAATATCATTCCGCAGGTTTCCCACATGTGGGACAACAATTTCTTTCTTGTGCCACCAGAGCTCATGCTCCCACAAGAGATCCTTCGTATTCTGTGGGTTTCGAAACCAAGGGTCAATATCATACCCTGCGCGAACGCGTTTCAGAAAACCACCAAAGGCAATCTCACTCACTCGAGCAGCTGCGAGGATGTTGAAACAAGCAGCAAACACTGCTTTATGTTCAGTATTATCAACACCCGTTGCTGCACCAATCGGCTGTCTGCTCAGAGGATCAGCCATGTTTGTCGAGCCCGCTTGATATCGAATATCATAGGTGAACCCACTAAGGAGTTCAGCCCATCGAGCTTGACGACGGGTGAGTGTGGCTTGAGTGGCAAAATAGGTGTTCGGACAGTGGTCGGTCGTGACCACAAAGTCAACACCTTCGAGATAACATCTCCATGTTCGTAGCGCATGCACAACTGCCAACAATTCTTGTTCGGAAGTTGTATAGCGCTGTTCAGCTGGTGAAAGCTTTCTACTCTCAAATGCCACGGGGCGTCCTTCTTGCAAAAGAACTGCTCCAATCCCCACTGCCGAGGCATCAGTTACCACCTCGTAGGGCTTGGACGGGTCTGGCAAAGTCAGCGCTGGAGCATTGGTCAGCATGGTTTTCACCTCCTCAAATGCCTTCTGGCATTGATCGGTCCACTGCCAAGCATTACCCTTACGAGTGAGGGCAGTCAGTGGAGCGACTACGGAGGAATAATTTTCCAAGAAACGGCGAAAATAGTTCGCAAGTCCGAGAAATGATCTGACCTGTCCCACGTCCTGTGGAACGGGCCACTGTTGGACTGCCGCCACTTTCTTTGGATCGACTTTGAGGCCATCGTTGCCTACCAAGTGACCAAGGTATTCCAACTCGCGTTTGTAGAAGTGACACTTCCACAATCGAGCAAAGAATTTATGCTCTCGTAGTTTTCCTAACACCCATTTCAGGTGTTGCGTGTGTTCTTCTTCAGTCTCCGAGTACACGAGGATGTCATCCAAGTATACCAGGGCAAATTGGCCAATTGCTTCCCGAAACACATCATTCATTGCTCGCTGAAATAACGCGGGAGCATTTGTCAAGCCAAAACTTAACACGCGCCACTGAAAATGTCCGAACGGCGTTCTGAAAGCCGTTTTTGGAACATCTTCTTCGGTGATTCGTAGCTGATGATACCCTTGAGCTAAGTCCAGCGCACTGAACCACTGAGCTCCTTGGAGCCGATCGAACAGATCCTCAATTCGTGGTAGAGGGTATCTGTTCTTCACCGTAATCTTGTTCAAGGCATGATAATCTACGCACATGCGTAATCCTCCGCCCTTCTTGTTAACGAACAAAATTGGGCTTCGTAAGGGGATGCACTGGATTCAATCCATCCTTTTCTGAGGTATTCCTCGATCTGTTGTTTGGCCTCTTCGTACGCAGCTGGACTGAGGCGATACAGAGGTCGAAAGGGTGGAACCTTTCCTGGTTCAACAGGGATGGTGTGACCCACTGCGCGGTCAGGCGGAAGTCCATCAGGGATGGTTTCAAACACTTCCTTAAATTCCTCTGCCAGAATTTGCATCTGAGGAGGGAAATTCTCAATTGCTGGTTCCGAGGCCTCAGCATTCTCAAGCTGTACCACGAACAGTGTATCAGCCGACTTAACAGAATGCCCGAGTTGGTTGGCCAACACACACAGCACGCTGGGACGTTTAGGCGTCTGTGTTTCAGTGGGCAAAGTATCATTGACTTGCCACTGAGTTGCCTTTCCGTTCTTGATGAACGAGACAATGTTGTATTGGAAGTCTAGAATGACTTCGTTGGCTCGCAACCAATCCATGCCCAGGATGAGGTCGACACCTGACAAAAGTGGTAGGACAAACACGCGAACTGCTTCGCTATAGTCCTGTACATTCATGTCGATATGTGTCTGTCCTTTACTTGGAATGACACGATCGTCACCCAAGCGGATGGGACATGACGGTCCTGCAACGAGGACGTTGCGTGTCGTAACCCAAGTTTCATCAACAAGGGAGACCAACGCGCCTGTATCGACGAGAACCCTTGCTTCGTCTCCATTCATGCGTCCAGATAACAGTAGATTCTGTTGGAATCTTGGACGGATGGGACAAGCGACAACAAGTTTAGGAGGTCGATAGTACACCCTAAATTTGTTGTGAGCACGTCCAAACCTTTGGGATGTGGTCCACCAAACATGGTGCCCTTTGTCCCATGTTGCGAGGATATGCCATTCATGAAATCGGCGGAACAACTCTCCTTTCACGATTCGAGTCACCAATCCCACTGACGTGAGCGGATGCTCTTGGACACAACGGTCCACAATATCCATGATTGTTGGCAACGGTCATTGACACAGATGTGACAGAGAAGCTTGCCAGCAATCCATAACGAGCAAGAGATGATTGAAAATTTATCTCTCAAAAATTCAATTGAAATGTTTTCAAGTGGGTACGATCGAGTTTTAAAACAGATTTTTCATTAATAGAAGAGGCATACAAACAAGCGATTTTGCATGATGCAAGCTTCTCTAGCTTTAGCAAATTCTCATCACGAAGGACATAAGCCTCATCTACTCGATCTCGCTCACCAACTAGGTACCCACCCCCTAGTTGGACTTCGGGAAATCCTTCGGGCCCGAAGGGCCAGAACCATCCGGCTTCTTGCCCTGGTTGGGCTTGCCGGAGTTCTTGACGGACTTCCTCCAACGGCAGTGATAGGACTTGTGCCCGAGCTTGCCACAGATGCGGCAGCCCGCCGGGGGCTTATCCTCATCCTGAGGATCCTTGGCAGGCCCAGCATGGGCCCTCTTGGACTGAGTCCCAGAGGATTCCCCCTTCTGCTGATAGGGCCTCTTCCAAGAGCCACTGCCCCTGTGTGCCTGAGTCCTGTTACCACCCCCCCTAGGGCCTTCGGCACTAGGCTGCCGCTGAGCACGAGCGTGAGTCATGTACGCACGGAAATTCACATCCGTGTTAATGACCTGCTCCTTGCACTCCTTGTAGGTCCTCCACTGGTGCTCCGCACGCACAACATGCACACGCTTGATGTGCTCAGGGAGTCCCTTGAAGAACTGGTGGATGACCTCGCTCTCAGGAAGAGCAGTCTTCAGCAGCGACAGAGTTTTCTCAAACTCTTTGGCGTACTCGCGTACAGGCTGGTCACCGCACTGGATGTTCTCCAGGCCGCTACGCACCTCGAGCGCCGGGGGCTGACTTAGGAATGCCGCCAGCATGGCAGCTTTGAACTCCTCCCAGCCAAAAGGATGGCCATTAGCCTCTGCGTGGCGCTTGTTGGCATACACCAACTTGCTCGCAGTGTTGTCCAGGGCAAGGGTCGCAGCGACCACGCGAGCCTCGCTACGCACATTGTGGATGGACATAAAGTCCTCCGCAATGGAGAGCCAAGTCTCAACGTCAGTTTTGCCATGGACAAAACGAGGCAGGGCCGAAGGGCAGGAGCCAAAAGTAGTTGCTGCTGCAGTAGGAGGCTCAACACGTGCTCCAGTAGGAGGGGGAATAGCAGAAGGAGCATCAGTAGGTGCAGCCCGGCTGTTAGTGGCGTTGGCAACTCGCTCTGCTGCAGGAGCAGGCTGGTAGAGGTTTCCACGCCGGATCTCCCTGTACTGGGCCTGAAGCACATAGATGTGTTTCTCTTGCTTCTTGAGCTGATCCTGCACGAACTGGAGAGTAGTCTGCAGGTCCTGAATGAAGCTGGGGGTGTCGTTCTCCTTAGGGATCGACTGCACCTCCCTGGTCAGCTGCTCAATCAAGGCCTGAAGCTTAACAGAATCAGCCTCCAAGTTTCGGATGCGGCACTGTTGCACTTCAACGAGAATATTCTGCTCCGTGAGTTGAGTCTGGAGCTTGACAGCAATGTTCTCAGTCTCATTGGAAAAACCCTCATCAGAGCCAGCCTCATCCTCATTTTCAGCATCAGCCTCAAGGTCAGCTTCACTTCCATTAATCTCCATGTCAACCACAAAGTCCTCAAGGTTGAGATCTATGTCAGCAGCAACAGCAACATTATCTCCCTCATTGCCAGCAACGGGCACCTCCTTAGTAGCATCCATCTCTTGACCAGAAGCCATGAAACAGGTTAAGGAGAGGAGATCTCAACAGATCTTATCATAATCTTTAAGAAATCTGATTATCCTTATAGAATAATCCAATACAGAATCTCTTAAGATTGACTTGTTTGCTAAATCTCTCTATCACCTCAATGATAGAGCAAGATATACTCAAAAGAGTAATCCTCAACAAGTCCTTGTAGATCTGAAGATACACTCTTCTACTAAAGGTAGATTTGAGTCTTCCACCAAAAGTGGGTAAGAGAAATGAATCTCTTCAAATTTCTTCACAATGTTGATGAAGAAGGGGAGCTTTTTGTAGATCTTGTAGCTCCAATGGTGGTTTGAAGAAATTGAAGTTGAAGATGTAGATCTTGAAGATGGTTTTGTAGATCTTGAAATTTCTTCAATATCTTCAAGATCTTGATAGCTCCTTGGATGAAATCCTAGATCCACAAGCTAGGATCCTCTAAAAAAAAATAAAAAAAAATCCAAGTAGCAAATGGCCACACAAGGCCAAGGAAGAACCTTGCTCTAGATACCAATGTAACACCCAAGGCTATTATAATGGAGTTACAATGCTGTTATAATAAATCTCGACACAAGTTGAAGCTCTAACTAGCTCCCAATAGCCTTGGAGGTGTCAATCTTCTTGAAGGAGTTGTCGAAAAGGCTTGAGAGAATTGTGTAGGAATGCTTGTGAGAGAGCTCTCAAGGACTTAGGCAAAACAATCCCATTTCCAATTGTTTAGTTGGAGTGGGAGGTTGAGAAATTAGCTTGCTTAGCTCAGACCCCCTCAATACACCCCTTGGGGAACTATCCCAACCATGGTTTCCATGGTGGGATGGTTCCTAGGCTTCGAGCCTATGTGACAATTGTGTTGGGTTGGAAAACCCAACTTAGAACCATTCAATGGTTGTGTTTAGGATAGAGTAGATTGTAACACTTGTTTGGCAGTTTCTGATTGGTTGGGATTCCAACCTTCAACATTCTCTTGGTTGAGTTGGAAATGTTCCAAACCTCCAAAGTTGAGGCTTGGCAAACCCAAACCAAGTTTCAACCCAACCAACGCAACCATCTTCTCCAACTCTTCCTTTGTCGAGAGAACTTCTCAACAATAGACTTAGAGAGAGATCGATGGTTGTTAGCTCGGTAGTTAGGGTAATACGTTACAGCTGGCTAACAGGCTGAATGCTCGGAGGTGTAAAGAGCGGCCGATGCCATCTGGCAGCAGCAAAAGGTCGGGCGCGTTGAGGTGCAGATGGGTGAGTGATGACAGGTGGGGCAGGGAGGTGGTCAGCGACAAGAGGTCGTGGCAGTCGTCGATGGAAAGGGAGTGCAGGCGCTGCAATTGCCCCACAGATTCAGGATGGCCTGTGATCCTACCCACCTCCTCCATAACCAGGCTTTCCAGCGCTTGAAGCTGCCCAAAATCTCTTGGGAGCGGGGGGAGCGCTTCGCAACGCTTCACCTTCAACTTCTTGAGCGATGCCAGGGCAGGGAAGGAACCTGGCGGGCGAAACCTGCTGCATCCACTGATGGAAAGGCGGTCTAGATTCGCAAGCTCCCAAAACGATTCCGGGAGTGAAGTGAGAGATTGACACGCATCGAGGTGCAAGGATAGGAGACACGTCAAGCTGCCGAAGCCCGGAGGTAGCTGTTTCAGGTCGAGCAAGTGCAGTTTGCACGTGTGTAGCGCGCGCAAGCACGTGAAGGCGTCTAGGAGGCGGTGCACGTGCGCCGCGAGGTGCAGGTGGGTGAGGCGCGCGAGGGCGCTGATGGCGGCGGGAATGGCGGGCAGAGCCGGCGGACACTCCAAAATGAGGTCCTCAAGGCACGTGCATCCCTGAAAGAGGCGCAAAAGGCCTTCCTCCGTGAAGCACTCGATGCGCACGACAATATCGAACATTGTTCGAAAGTGGAACTTGATCAGCTCGGGAAGCGTGGCGCCCAGGGCGGAGAGGAAATCCTCAGGAATAGATATGAGGCTGCCAAGCTCATTCTCCATTCCTTTCCCAAGTTGGAAAACGATTGTCTCTCTCTCAAGTTACCTTCCACAGTTTGTTACTGGATCCCCTAGCACTCTCCAGACTTGGTCATTTCCAGGAGCTACTACTCTCTGTTTTGTACTAGAACCTATTTATAAATGGGTAAATACCCTTTCTATTAGTGGAAACGTTACAGGACCCGCCGTTACAAAGTAATGAGGCACGGGAAACGAGCTGGAAGTACTACTAGGCGGTGTTCGCCAGCGCAACTAACAACTGTCAGAATGTTATAATTGTCTAGCCTGCAGTGGGGTACTCTATAGCGAGTACAACCCGATTAGGGTTTCCTATATGTATGCCAACTGCTGCTATTGCAACCCCTCCTCTCTTCTTCATTCCTCATTTCTTCACATGCTATCAGAGCATCTACGCTCCTGGCCTGTCAGCCCAACTAACTGCTTCCGCTGCTACTCTGTGTGCTGCACGCCCCGTGGCGTGCCCCTCGCGCTACTCTTCGCGGCCCCGTCGCCGCCCTTCTAGGCCCCTCGCGGCCCCTTCGCGGCCCCGTTGCCGCCCTTCCAGGCCCCTCGCGGCCCCTTCGCGGCCCTGTCGCCGCCCTTCTCGGCCCCTCGCAGCCCCTTCGCGGCGCGTCGCCGCCCTTCCAGGCACCTCGCGGCCCCTTCGCGGCCCCGTCGCCGCCCCTAGCGGTCCCGTCGCCGCCCCTAGCGGCCCCATCGCCGCCCTTCGCGGCCACGTCGTCGCCCTTCTTGGCCCCGTCGCCGCCCCTAGCGGCCCCGTCGCCGCTCTTCGCGGCCCCGTCGCTGCCTCTACCAGCCCCGTCGCCACCTCTACTGGCCCCGTCGCCGCCCTTCTAGGCCCCTCGCGACCCCTTTGCGGCCCCGTCGCCGCCCCTAGCGGTCCCGTCGCCGCCCCTAGCGGTCCCGTCGCCGCCCCTAACGGCCCCGTCGCCGCCCTTCGCGCGTCGCCGCCCTTTGCGGCCCAGTCGCCGCCCCTAGCGGCCCCGTCGCTGCTCTTCGCAGCCCCGTCGCCGCCTCTAGCGGCCCCGTCGCCCTTCGCGGCCCCGTCGCCGCCTCTACCGGCCCCGTCGCCGCCCTTTGCGGCCCCGTCGGCGCCCCTATCGAGGCCCTGCCCCGGCCCTGCCCCGGCCCTGCCCCGACCCTGCCCGGGCCCCGCCCTGGCCATGCTTCGTTGCCTGGCGCGGCGCACTGGGGACCCGTGCACCACCCCCTCCCCTCTTTTCCCGTCGCCTGTCGAGGCGACCTGAGGGGGCCGCGCGCCGGGGGGGGGGGGGGGGGGGCGAGCGTCGCCCCTTCTGCCGCCTACTTTGGCGCCCTGGGAGGCCGCGCGTCGGCCCCCCCCTTCCCTCCCCCCCCGTAACCTCCCTACCCGCCATCCCGCCCTGCCCTGTGTTAGGGTTTGGGGGTGGCGAGTGGGGGGTGGCGGGTGTGTGGTCTCCCCTGCTCCTCCTCCTCCTCCTCTGTCTCCCACTGCTGCAGCTGCCGCTGAGGGGGGTGGGTGTGTGGGAGTCGACGGAGTGGTGCTAGGGGGTGGGGTGTGAGTGAACCTAGGGTGCAGCAGGGGGTGTGTAAAAGGGGGGTGGGATAGTTTGGGGAGGTTGAAAGGGGGTGGCCGCCCTGAAGCCCACAGCTCCAGCTGCCCGTGAGACCGTTGCGACAGTCGCCCGTGAGCCCGTTGCGCCAGTCGCCCGTGAGCCAGTTGCTCCAGTCGCCCGTGAGTCCGTTGCTCCTGCCGCTCAGAGTTAGCCGCGGAGCCAGTTACTCCAGTAGCCCGTGTGCCAGTTGCTCCAGTTGCCAGTGTGCCAGTTGCTCCAGTTGCCCGTGTGCCAGTTGCTCCAGTTGCGCTGTGTGCCAGTAGCTTCAGCTGCCGCCCACTACCTCCTCTCCTCTCATAGTCCCTCCTCCTCCATACTTGCCCTCGGTGATAGCCTCTAGCTTTGCTTACATTTGTGAACTTTAAACTGTTGCTTCTTGAACTTGTGCTCGGAATGTGTGGTGACATTGTGATCCACCCTGAGCTTGTGTTTTGCTTGCTTGTTGTGCTGATTACACCCCACTTTGGCTATGGGTTTGTGTCAGAATGTTATAATTGTCTAGCCTGCAGTGGGGTACTCTATAGCGAGTACAACCCAATTAGGGCTTCCTATATGTATGCCAACTGCTGCTAGTGCAACCCCTCCTCTCTTCTTCATTCCTCATTTCTTCACAACAACAAGAAGGTGAGTCACGCCTTCCTGATCACGTACGTTAGGATTCGTTAATGTCCGTCAGGGTGATCGCCCATGAAATTCTTACCGAACCTATGATTCCGTCCGACTCAAATGGAATCATGATGGCCTGTGTCACATAATCAATAAAGGCAGAAGTAGAGGCAATAGGATACACTGAACGAAATAATTGTCCACATGCCAAGATATATGGATGGAAAATGTGCATTAGTTGCTACCGTGTTTAAGCCTTAATCAAAGGGCGCCACAAGGTTAAAACCCGGAGGGTTGTATGTGGAAACACAAGGCTACATGGCCATTAACTCGGCTCAGCAATCTGCAGGAAAGGAATTAGGCAAACAGTGTCATATGGACAGTTTCTTACAAATACAGTCACGCATGCAAACCAGGCTGAATCTAATACTTGGTCCAGCGACCCTTGGCCTTGAGCACAGCGCGCACATGCCTGGGCATGATGTCGATCAATTCACTGCAACAGGCCGCGGGGATTTTCTCCCATTCCACTTGAATTCTGTCCCACAGCTCGAGAATGCCTGCAGGTGGGCGGGGGTAAGCAACCAGCAGCTTCTTCAAGTAAACCCATAGGTGTTCTATAGGGTTATGGTCCGGACTAGATGCGGGCCATGGGAGAACAGAGTACTGCTGCTCTGCAAGGTAATTTTTCACCAGCTTGCACGTATGCTTGGGGTCGTTGTCATGCTGGAACACGACTGCCTCGGGATTCAGCTCGTAATGCTCGTCTGTTGAAGCCCGTCTTGCAGGATTGAACGGTACAACTCCCCGTTCATCCTTCCCTCTATCTTGCACATAAAACCCGCGCCGTTGTATGTCATGCACCCCCAAATCATGATGGAGCTGCCGCCATGCTTGACGGTCTGTTTCACATGGTGCGGCTCCATGGGGCAGTCCTGTCTAATCCAGGCCCAACTTTGTTCGTCGCTACTAAACCGGCAGACCTTTGTTTCATCGCTCCAAATGACGCATTTCCAGTCGTCCATCGTCCAGTGCTGATGGTCCTTGGCCCACTGCCTGCGGTCGTTGATGTTTTTCTCGGATAGTCTAGGCTTAGACGGCTTTTCAGTCGCCTTAACTCTGTGCCGCGTGAGAGTGTTTCAAACAGTGGCGCCAGTGACACTGATGCCATGTGTAGAAGCAATCATTCCCGCGCTTGCCTCGGCGGATTTCGTTTCACATAAAACTATCGACCTTACGACTATCTGTGCGATTTGCTCGGGTAGCTTGCGCGGCCGACCAAGTTTTGCCGGTGACGGCACTAGCTCATCGTACGTTTGCGGACCGACGTGGCGGAGGAGCTCGTCATGGACGGCGGACTTCGAAACACCCATCTCCTTAACGATTTGGTGGTAACTACGCCCCTCTTGAATTAGCTGCATGATGCGCTTCTGCTTCTCCACACTAAGGCGCTTCATGCTGCGGGGGAGATAGCACTAAGGTAAGATCGTAGACTACGCCCGTTATCGCCTCAGTACCTAACGAAACTAGATCTAACTGCGCTCGAAATAATGTGCGAGACATTTTGGAAGGATTTGTCCGTATGGGGTGTCGAGAGAGAAAAGCTTACTCGTTAGAGCTCCATCGTTTGACAGGCTAGAGGGCGCCTACACAAACTGGTAACACATGACACGAGCCCTGTATGCAATTTGTACAATAGAATACATGTTTATTTTACGATTGGACACCACTTACTCTACATATCGAATCCATAAGGACAATTATTTCGTTCTGTGTATATGGAACCTTAATATAATTGCCTGACAGAGTAGTATAGGAGGAAAGTGGTAGCGAGAACAAAGGCAAGGCGAGAACCGAACCTAGGGCTACCCATCCTAAGCGGGAAGCATCCGAAAAGTATCAATGGTAGCAGAGACATCGGTAAGTTCTAGGATTGTACTTAGGGCGTAACTCAGTTCGGGTCATGAACACTATTCATGCTACTATTTGGGTCATGCGGATATTGCGCATGACCCGAAGTGGCCTGCCTAGCCGTGCGCGGCCACGGCTTAGGGTCAATGTGTAGGTGTTGGCTGACTGACGTGCATGACCCACCCCCAACCAATGACCTGGTTGCACGATTCTGATTTTACTGCCATCTTTTATACGGTCGTCACTCGATTGTCACAAGTCGGCAATGTCCCATGTCCTACACCTCTGCACACAACAACTCGGCAAATTGACCCTGATGACCCTCGATGTGTCAAAAATTTCCTGCGGCGCGCTCCCATTATTTGGGGATTCACACTGGGAATTTTGACGATTTGTTTTTTTCGGTGGGTGTCGCATGGTACTGCGTGGGTGTCGCTCATGATCTTCCGGACTGTTCTGGCTTCCAGCCATTGGAGGTGTCTGGTCTTAGGCGGGCGATTTTGCATAACAACGCCGCGCGACACTCTGAGGGTCACAGGAGATTGGATGACCCAAGGTGGCGTTTTCAGTAGTTTGGGTCATGCGGAAATCGCGCATGACCCTAAGTGGCCTTATGACCCGAACTGAGATACGCCCTTAGGAGAGCAGTGGGCCATGCTCCAACTACTTGCTTGTTTGTCTCAATTAGCTAAAGGGCGTTTTCTATCCTAGCTAGGGAAGCCAGTTCAAGCAACCGTCAGCCAGCCGAACCAATGCCGTACGTTACTCAGACATTTTTACAAACAAGCAAGGTATGAGTGATAACATACAGCTAAGATCTGGTTTCAGCTACCCCAGACGAACGATGGAGATGGCGCAAGAAACGATAGGATGGCGCGCACGCAAGTAGCATAAGGTCCGAGGAAAGGAGTGAGCCCACATCTAGACGCAGCGATTCGCCGACTTATCGGACGCCACATCAGCGTGAACGGAATGATACTAGGCAAGAAGGCGAGGTTAAGCGAACACCAGCATCAGACCCACGGACCATGCCGCCAGACGCTAAGTGGCCGAGAAGCGCAAGACCGATGGAACGCCCGGAGCAACAAAGAATCGCTGCTGACTATGCCAGAAATATGGGAGAACATCACGATGACGCCGCGCCAGTGGGGTAACAAAGGCCGAGACATCCGACCCAGCCCGCGAGCGCACCAAGAGCTGGTAGCTAGCCAGGCCGCTATCTGAATGTATGGAGAAGACGACAAAGGCCTACGGCCAGGACGCTGATGGAGAACCGCATCGGTGCCGAAAGTAGAAGTGGCAGACCGGTACACCGGGATTCCAAGCGTAGGGCTGACGTTGAAGAACTATGTTATGCAACTAGAGACAGCTACTGCTAGGAGTGGGACGGATTTGACCCGCAAGACTTCTTCCGCAAGATGGTAGTGACCTTGGCGGGAGAAGCCGAGATGTTTTACCGGATGGTGCGGAGCGAAGTGCTAGAGGAATTGGCACACGGGCTCATTTAAGAACCCTACTGACCGATTTGTACAGCTGCTGAAGAGAGAATTCGTCGGCCAAACGAAGGCTTGCTTGGAAGAATTCAAAGAGTTCCGCAGGAGAAAGGAGGAGTTGCTGCTGTCCTACTTCAATCGGCTGCAGGAATTGGCAGAAGGTTTGGAGAAGCACGACGAATGCCTGCTGGTGCATAAATTTTTACGGGGATTAGACGACGAATTGAGACCTGTTGTACGTACGGCAGTGTATGGGATCAGCACAGATGTGACCCTGAAAGAAGTGTACGGCGTCGCGAAGCGGACGGAGCACGCTCAACAGCTGCTAGATTTAGATGACGGACTAGCGAATCAGAAGGTTAGGACGAGCTGGGCAGTTGTAGCCATGCTAGAAGGAGAGAGGAGCACGCGAGACCGCTTCGACCCAAGGCGATGCCATACCTGTGGGGAGCCCAAGCATTTGAAGCGAGACTATCCGAGCGCTCCAACGTGCGTTCGATGCGGGAGAAGGGGGCACCGCTCGAACGATTGCTACCACGGAAGGGCCAGGACAGAGGGTCTGTCCAAGAAACACCTACGGACAGAGATCAGGAAGGTGTAGGCACGGTTGGAACGGATGCCCAAACCAGGAGCCAACAGAAGGAGGAGAGCCGAAATAGATGTTGCTTACCAAGAGATCCGTGGAGATCAGACTACTACCCGGCACGGAGGAGTGCTGCATTCGCCTGAAATGCGGAGTGTCACAGTCGAAAGACTACGATGTGTTGGTTGGGATGAAATTATTGTACAAGGTGGGGGCAACGATATGCACCTAGCAGGAGAAGATGCTGTATCAGGCGTAATATTGGGACCCAGTGAGCTCGGTGGGAACGCTGTCGGTCCGCTTCGTGAAACAAGAGCCAAGGGCGACTTACAAAGCAGAAGAAGCGGACTAGTCCAAGGACTTGGACGATTGGACGTGGCAAGAATATGCCAAAGAGGGACAACGGAGGATCGAGCAGTACGAGACGGGGAGGAGAGTGACGGACCTAAAGGAGCGGGTGAGCAAGACGTGGTGCTTGGACGGAGCCTTGTGCATCCTGGAAATGTATGGGGGCATTGGAACGGGGCTAGCCACGGCACTAAAGGCGTGATGCTTCGTGGGGCGGTGGATACATGAGGAGAAGGACCCAGCCGTGCGTAAGATGGCAAGACACTACGCGTTCAAGCTCCTGGAGGAATATCCGCTGCAGATGTTGATTACCGCCATCCCAACCGCGGAGGAAGTGATCGTACATGACGTTCGAGACATTACGGAACAGCAGCTGGAGAAATGGCGGCTGATCGACTTAGTGGTGGAGGGGTGGGAATGCCAGGGATACTCGAGAGCTAGGGAAGGGAGAGGAATGGACGATCCCAGGGGAGCCTCGTTCAGAGACCTGGAGAGAGTGTTGCGCATATTACAGCAGAGGGAAAGGGAGATTGTCTTCATTTTAGAGAGTGTGAGTATGGCTGACGACAGGAGGGAACCAGTGAGACACGCATTCGAGGAGATTCAAGAGGTGCTGGGGAGGGGAGTGCTGGCAGACGCAGCCCAGCTGGGGTCATGAGCTCAACGGCCAAGGAGGTGTTAGCAGAACGGAGTTTTGGAAGTGCTCCTGAGGCACTTGCTGGCCCAGATGCATAGGCCACATCCCAGTCTGGTGAAGGACATACCGGGACCAAATAGAGTCCCAGCATCGGTCACAACCGAAGATCACCCTGCTCGGTACTAGTGTAACGTGCCGGGAGAGCGTAGAAGAGCGTAGCCAACCTTGGTCTTCTTCGCAGATGCGCGGGGCTTTGTGATGGAGGCCCGGGGATGGTGTATGACTCCCACATGTGGAGATGGGAGGCACCAACGGCAGAAGAGAGGGAGTTGGCGATGGGGCACAAATGGGGGGCGATGGGGCACAAATGGGGGGCGAGGGCACATCCAGAGGTAACGGAAGCACAGAGGAGACCTGGATTCTGGAAACCATCCGCATGCACCTGAACGCACGTCACTGGGCAGGGCGATGGACCTGAACGTGATGACCTGGATCCTAGAAACCATTCGCATGCACCTGAAAATGAAGGTGGTGCAAAGGGGGTTGGAAGGTAGCCTGCGCTACCAAGACAAGAGGGAAGCAGCGTGGAGGAGGCTGCAGCTGGAGAGCATTGAAACCCATCGCACCGAGAGGATGATGGAAGGATGGTCCTTCATGGCAGTGGAGATGGGCCAGGAGGACGGAGGTGGAGAAAAGGAGGTACGAGTGACCGAAGAAGAGGGAGACAAAGGAACGGGAGAAGGAGAATGGGAGATAGGCGATGGATTGGGGACAGAGGCAGCCGCGGCCCTGAGAGATACTGAAGGAACACAGAGGAACTTTCGCGTTCACACTGAAAGAGCTTGGCCGATGAAAGGTGCAGGAGATGCGTATCCTGCTTAGCAACGAATCACCCGTGTACCACCATAAGAGGAGGATGAGCCCCAGGAACGTGGAGGTATGCGCATTCAAGTGCAAGGAACTGCTGGAGGCAGGGCTGATTCAGAGGTCAGAAAGTGAATACGCAGCGGTGACAGTAGTGGCAGCGCGGACCGACATCACGGGGGATGTTTCGGCCAAACGCATGTGCGGCCTTTTCCTCCCCCCCCCCCCCCCCCCCCTTCCTCACTGCCATCTCCCTTCCCCAAACGCGGCCACTCCCTACCCCTCACGCTACCATTACATTCTCCCTCTTCCATTCAATTCCCCTCTCTCTTCCATTTCACACTTCCTATCCTGCATTCATTTACTTCCCATACCCCTCCCGATTCCCCTTCTCTCCCACTTCCAATCCCTCCCCCACTTGAACATTCCTATCCCCCCCTCCTTCTCCCCCCCCACCCCCCCCCCCCCTTTGCAATCTCGCTTCCCCAGACGCTTCCATTCCCTTGCCCGAACGAATCCATTCCATGCCCGTTACTCTTCCATTCTTTTGCTGTCATTCCCAAGCCCACAATCTTTCATTCCCATCCCCTCACGAGGGTGTTCCCTTGCCCTCCCTGTTGTTTATACATTCCATCTGCGTTGCCATCTCCCATCCCCTCACTATGTCATTCCCATCCCCCCATGCTTCAAATCCATTCTAGCGCATGCATCCATTAACCAACCCGTCATCCACCCATGTCCCTTCCTCTCACGCTACCGTTTCCTTCCTCTACCGCTGCCATTCACAGCCCCCAACTCTGCCATAGCTTCCCCTCACACTCCCAGCAGGATCCAAACTTTTAGAATCTGGTTTGCTGAAAGACGACGTGAGCACAATGTGCCTTCAAGAGATGTGGGGTTCGCAGTTGATGCACCAGCATTCCAGAGCCGACAATGTTGTGATATCTGAGGGTCATTGCCCCCGCTCCGCATCCCCCCCATGCTCCTGCCTTCCTTCCTCTCCCTTCTTCCCTGGCAAGTGCGTAGCGGCGGCACGTTGCCACAAGCAGCATGGCCAGATATGCCCCTCTCACCCTTCCTATGTCCTTCTCCCCTCCCTTACGTGCTCTATGCTCCCACATCTCCCAATGCCCCTTACTCACTTGGCTCCCGTTTGCCTCCCTGCCACCTCTTCCCAACTCCTTCCTTTCAACCCCTCCCTTTCCTTGCACATCCTTCCCTGCAGCCGTAGCACGACCACCAGCAGCACCACCACCACTTCTCCTATGCGAAGCAACCGCACTGCTCCCAGGACTACCACTATCTACTCCCATTGTCTCGTCTGCACCCCTGCGCCCATCAAAGCCCTTCCGTACCTGCACCTCTTGCTCCTCCTCCTCGTATTCCTCCTCCTTATCCTCTTCCTTATCCTCTACCTCCTCATCCTCCTCTTCCTTCCCCTTTCCTTTTTATCCTCTTCATCCTCGGCCTCCTCCCCTTCTCCCCTTTTTTCCTTCTCCGAGCACTCTTCCCCCTGATCCCCCACCTCCACTTCCCTCCTGCCGCTCTCTCTTCCTCCCAACCTCCTCTCCTCTCCTCCGCCCTGCTAGTCCCCCTCCTCTCCTTCCTCTCTCCCTCACTTTCTCTAACATCCTCTCTTTTCTTGTGTCCTTCCCCCTCTTCCTCGCTTTCTCCCTCACACCGCTTCCTTTCTCTTCACAGCTTTCTCTCCACTCCTCCGTTGTTCACCACTTCCTCTCCCTTCTATCCCACCTCCACCCCTCCTCTCCCCTCCACTCCCACTGCCCCTACCTTGTTCCCTCTTCCCCCGGCCACCCAAACCACTTTGCTTGTTCCCCTCTCCTCCCTCACCCTTCCTCGGACCCTCTTTCAAACCCTCACCCCCTTTCCCTCCTCCTCGTACTGCACCAATTTTCGTTGTACCTTCACCGCTAGAGGAGACAGCCACGCTCTCTTAATCTTCTTGCTCCGCACTCTCTCCAGCTGCCTCTCCCTCTCCCTCTCATCCTCCTCCAGTCAGGATTTGGGCAGTGGCTCCGTACTGACCTCGTAGTCCATGTACCTACAAAAAACAAGAATTGGCATGGATGGTGCACGAAGCAATAAGGAGTGAGGCATCCAAAGGAAGCGTACAAAAATATTATAATTCTCGGGTAGACTCATAGTATAGATCAAGTATTTCTCAACTTTGTGGCATCTTGCACGTTTCCGTAGTGTACACAATGGAGCATGGACTTGATCACCGCAGCATGGACTCATATGAATATAAAAAACAGTATAGCAACAGAAGTTATTGTACATGTCTAACAGGGTTTAGCATGATATGTAGTTTTGAAGGCATGAAGATAGGCAACAAATGGAACCGCTGGGCTTACACGTGAGACGACAACGTGCACAGTACGGGTGTGGGATACACACGGTTCGGCGGCGCTGCTTGGACCATGAGGTGGTGCTACTGGTTGATTCCTGGCCTGGACTGAACACTGTAGCTGGAGGCGGGGTAGAAAAAATGCCTACACTGCCATGCTAGGGAACGGACTCGAGTGCCTTTGAATTGGGTGTAACACGCAGCAAAGTAGGCTCAAGGCTCCCCTGGGAAGCAGTCCAATCGCGCATGATGCCGTCGACCCCTTTCCAGTCCATAAGGCCTGGAATACGAACCTTCTTACCACGCCTAACCTATGTAGCAAGTCGGAGCCATGTTTTGTAATCTTTGACCACTTGATTGACTGTGTTGTTCCGGTCGAGCACGGCCAGTGCAATGCAGGCCTCCATGCTCCCCAAGAACCTCACGTGCTTGGAGGCATACTTGCATATGAGAGTGGAATGATTTGTGAGAAACGTATGGGGAATGAATCATCTAGTAAAGAGGTGGGTACAAGTAGGAGAACCTAAAAGTGATAAACCACTTATTCTCTACCCCACTACACCCTACACAGACTATAGCATATAAGTTCGACACACCCCCATAGGCAAAGTGGGGGAGAACAAGGGGTCACAAGACCAGCCAAGAAGAGCAAAGCAAGCTCAGGGTGGATCACGACGTCACCACACATTCTGAGCACAAGCAAACGGCCACAAGGCCAGTTCACATGCAGAGTTATATAGAGTAGAACAAACAAGACAGTGATCACAACCTAGCAAATGTAAGCACGCATGTGTATATATAGAGATCACAGTACAAGCAAAGTCAAGAAGTGAGCAAGTGAGGCAAAGTGGGGACAAGGCCTAGAACAGTACAGAACCACTGATGATCACAAGGCTGAAGTGCCTTGGTGAAGATTTCAGCGGTGTTGGCCTGAGAGGCCACGTAAACAAGACAAAGCTGACCACGTTGCTGCAGCTCTCAAGCAAGAAAGTAGCGAAGAGCGATGTGCTTCGTTTTGTGTTCCAGTCTCTACTTGCGACACAAGGCAAGAATTGCCTTGTTGTCAACGTACAGAACTGGAGGAGAACGAGGTGCCTCGCCCAAGTCGGTCAGCAGGTAGGTGAGCCAGCGTAGCTCCTGTGTAGCCATGGCCCCTGCGTAGATCTCAGCCTCATAGCTGGAGCTGATAACAGAAGACGAGCGGGTAGACCGCAACGAGACAGAACCGGAGCCAAGGCTGAAGGTGTAACCCTGTGACGACCGCTGTGTAGCCAAGTCGTCAACCCAAGAAGCGTCTGCGTGACCAGTGAGAACAACTTGACCCCGTCCCCCAAGCACAAGCCCCATGCCCAACGTAGTGCACAAGTAGCGCATCACCCTCTTAGCTGCCTTCCAGTGCTCTGGTCGGTGTCTCCCGTGCGCAACGTAGCGTTCCAGGATGCTAAGAGGGTAAGCAAGGTCAAGACGAGTGCAGGTCATTAGGTACATGAGGCAGCCCACAAGCTCTGGACACGGGCCACTCGGCTCGACGGACTCCTCCGAAGGCAGAGCTGAGAGTAAGTGACCGGTAGGCAGAGGAGTGGACTGTGGCGAGGAGTACTGGAAGTCGAAGTGCTAAATTACCTGCTTCACCATGTGAGAAGAAGTCAGGGTGATGGTACGGCGTGCTCTGTCTCGAGTGATCTGCAAGCCAAGATAGTTGCGCAGCTCACCCAGGTCTGTGCACGTGTGTCTCTTCTGCGGCTTCGAATTCACTAGAGTCAATGCCTTAGTGTCAGAAGTGGCAAAAACCAAGTACTCGACGTACACGAGGATGTAGAATGGCGGCAGCGAAGGGTCGGTGCGTAGAAACAGCGACGGGTCAGCAGTAGAAGGAGCAAAGCCAAGAGCCGCAAGGGTCGTCCTCAATGTGTCGTGCCACTCCCGAGGCACAAGGCGGAGACCGTAGACTGGCCGCCGGAGGCTCCACTAGGTACTTGAAGGGAACGACCCAGTGAAGCCAGGTGGGACGCGCAGCCAGATCTCCTCGTGCAGGCTGCCCTGTAGGAAGGCTGTGCTGAAGTCAAGAGAGTGAAGCTCGTAGTCACGCTGAGCAGCGACGTGTAGAAGTACCCGAAGAGTGGTTTTCTTCGAGGTGGGAGAGAAGGTCTGAAAGTAGTCAACTCCTTGCCGCTGACTGAAGCCTCGAGCCACGTAACGCGCCTTGAAGACAGGCGGAGAACCTGGCGGCCGCTTCACCCTGAAAATCCACATGCCATCGACAATGTTCGCCCCAAGCGGGGGAACCTCGTCGACGTAGGGGCTAGTGGACTTCCAAGAAGCCATCTCTGCGTCCATGGCTGTCTGCCACTGAGAGGAGTTGGGACCCTCAACCGCCTCTACGTAAGAGCGCAGAGTCGGGATGTCTGGTGCATCCGGGTCTCCCTCAGGGGCGAGCAGCATGGATACGAGATGAGGTGAAGTAGCAGCAAAACACTGGAACTCCTCCTGCCTTTCCTCAAGGACTTCCGTGCCAAGGGTACACTCAACCCCGACGGACAGAGGACAGACAGACTCAAACTCAGCAACAAGAGTAGACACAGCAGTAGACTCGAAGGAAGGGTCAGTGACAACAGTGGCCAAGAGACGTATTATAGTGGGACTAGCAGCACGAAGTGAGTCAGACTCCGGGTCAGCAAGGGCAGGAAGAGAGGACGCAGGAGGAGACGGCAGAGGGACACGCTGCGGATCAGTGGAAGGACGCAGAGCCATCTGGTGCGTGCCACGCGGGTCTCCCTAAGGGGTAAGCAGTACGGACACGAGATGAGGTGAAGCAGCGGCCAAGCACTGAAACTCCTCCTGCCTGTCCTCGAGGACGTCCGTGCCAAGGGCACACTCACCCCCGACGGACGGAGGACAGACAAACTCAGACTCAGCAACAAGACTGGCGACGTAGTCTAGGCGACAGCGAGCAGCAAAGTCGACGAGCTCAGCAACTAGGGCAGATGCAGCAGTGGACTCAAAGGAAGGGTCAGTGACAACAGTAGCAAGGACACGCGTGACAGTAGGACTTGCAGCACGAAGGGAGTCCGACTCCGGGTCGGCAAGAGCAGGAAGAGAAGACTCAGGAGGAGAAGGAAAAGGGGCACGCAGAGGAGCTGTAGACGGACGCAGAGACATCCGGTGCGTGCCAGGGACAGGAGGAGGACACTGACGCGAACCGCGACCACTAGTGCGAGCAGCACGGACAGGCGACGCAGGGCGAGACGCAGGCTCACGACGCTCAGCAAGACCTCCAGTAGGACCAGTGTAGGGAGACGGAGCAGGCAGTGGGGAGGCCGGCTGTAACTGTAACTTCGACGGGACAGGCTGTGGACACGCAAAGGGAGGAGGAGGACCAGTAGAAGGCGGGAGACCAAGAACCTGCTGAAGGAGCGGAACGAAGTACGGCCGAGGCCGCGCAACGACTCCAGACACACCAGGGACAGCACCAGCACCCCCAGCGGCAGCACCAGCACCAGCAGCAGCTCCATCTCCAGTACCTCCAGCAGCACCAGTAGTACCCCCAGCAGGACCGCCTCCAGGACCGACAGCAGTAGCCTCCGCGCCAACACCCTCAGTAGCTCCAGCTCCAGAAGTACCCTCAGGCTCAGCACCCCCAGGCGTAGCACCCACACGCTCAGCACCCCCAGAGTCAGCACCCCCAGGCTCAGCAGCAACAGAGACACCAGCGACCTCGACAGGCTCAACAGCGTCTACCTGGGACACACCTGAAGGGGCAGGACCCTGAGGGGGGAGGGGGTGTACCGGGGGGGGACCTGGCACAAGGAAGAGCGGTGGGGGGGGGAGGGACGGAGTGCTGTAGGGGAAGAGACGGTAGTAGGGGACCGACTCGTCTTACGTGACGTCTTGGGAGGACAGAACACGGCGAGAGGTGGGGTGGTAGAACTGCCACCCTGGCGTGTCAGGGGGGAAACCCAGGAAGACGCAGGGAGCAGCACGAGGGGACAGCTTGTCCGCAGACAAGTCGCGGACAAACGCCCGAGATCCCCAGACACGGAACGCAGACGCATCGCCAACCTTCCCCGTCCACAGCAAAGCTGGGGAGGTCTCCGGCATGGAGACCCTCGGCTGAAGGTTGATCTGATGCGCCGCGTACCGGACAGCAAACGGCCACAGAAAATGGGGGGCAGCCGCATGCATCATGGACGTACGGGCGACGTCCATGACCATGCCAATGCGGCGCTCAGCAATCCCATTTTGCTGTGGAGAGTCCGGAAGCGTGAAGGTCTGGCGGATGCCTTGTGCACGACAGTAGGCTCGCGGAAGACCAGAGGAGAACTCTCCGCCTCTGTCAGAGTGTAGACGCAGAACTGGAAAGTCCGAGCCAAAGCTCCGCCTGAGCTGGAGACGAGCTGCGCGGATCCAGTCGATCAACACCTCAGTGACATCACCCTTGCTGCGCAAGGGGAAGACTGTGGTGTAACGCGAGTAGTCGTCAACCACCAGCAGGAAGTAGCGCTCGTGACCCTGTCCACGAACGCGGGCTGGGCCCCACACGTCCATGTGAAGCGTCTGCACCGGGGCCTCTGTCGGAGGAAACTGGGAGGAGTGAGGGGCAGCCCGCTGCCACCCCTTGACATAGGGGACGCAGGTAGGGCCAGGCCCCAGAGGAAGGGGAGGGAGGGACCAGGGAAGACCAGAGA